ATATTTGGTCTTCGTCCCCATTTCTGGCACCAAGCTCCTAAAACCCTTGGAATTTATGTTCATGAGGTGACTTTTAAAAAGATGTTAGGTAGCCTAAGGATGGGATCTGGTTGCCAGGGGAAACTTAGAGGATTGGAACTTTCAGCCTCACCCCCCAACTTGGGGTTGGAAGAGGAGCTGGAGATTGAGGTCAATCACTAACGGCCAATGACTTAATCAACCAAGCTTTGTAATGAAGGTATCGCTAAACCCCAAAAGGATGGACTTCTTAGAGCCTCTGGGTTGGTAAACACACTGGGGTGCCTGGGAGAACGGTGCTCTCAGAAAGAACACGGAAGCTCCAGGCCCCTTCTCCATACCTTGTCTTATGCATCTCTTCCATCTGGTTGTTCCTGAGTTATATCCTTTTACAATAAACTGGTAATCTAGGAAGTAAGATGCTTCTCTGAGTTCTGTGAGATGCCCTACTAAATTAATCAAACCCAAGGAAGAGGTCATGGAAACCTCCAACGTATAGCTGGTTGGTCAGAAGCCCAGATGATAACCTAGGTTTGCAGTTGGCATCTGACGTGGGGGGCAGTCTTTTACAACTGAGCCCTTAGTCTGTGGGATCTGATGTTATCTCTGAGTAGATAGTGTCAGAATTGAGTTGAATCGTAGGACACCCAGCCGGTGTCAGAGAATTGCTTGGTGGTATGGGAAAAAAAAAAAAAAAACAGACATCCTCATGCATCACCTCACTATACTTCTTCATCATGGACCCGAATGACAGATGAGAACACTGAGGTGCAGGGAGCTGAAGACCTTTGCCTGAGGTTCCATGAGTCACAGAGCGTTGTTGATGGGTAAGGAGGAGAGTGGAGAAGCCTACTGGGCAAGGATCCAATGGAACTTCCATGAAAGCAACACCAAGTTTTTGCATCAATCTTCATTTGAAAATAGCGTTCTGTAGCTTAAAAAGACACAAAAATCCCAAACTGAGAGAACTAAAGCTGAATGTATTAGCTTGAAAAACTTAACCCAAACATATTAATATAAACATAAAGGACAGTCACAGATGAGAATGCCCAAAAGGTGACTTTCAAATTGTCTCAACTTGTGTCAGATTCAACCTCACTGCAATTATCCCAAAGATTTCACCCACAACTGCATGCGGTTTGCACCCAGAAATTCCCTCACACTGTAGTAGTTTGGGTATGAACTTGAAATTGCTCGGGGAGGGGTGGTGGTTGGGGAAGAGGCAAGAAGAAGGGGGCAAAAAGAGAAAAGGTAACTTAATTGGGCAAAGCTGAGGCCCTGCAGTGAGTTCTTTGAAGAAGATGCGAAACCAAACTGCTGCTGCACTAGAACAGCCATCGTATGCAAAATGGCCTTTTAATGGGGGGCAGGGGGTACTTCCCAGCTTTGTCTTCTCCACGAGGGAAATGATTCATACACATTTCTTGAGCCAGATGCAGAGCTCTGCACTGAGGCTCCTCCTTTAAGTTTTCAGTGAATGTGATTAGCATCCCATCTGCTACAAAGCTACAAAGTTCCCAGAAACTGTGCAATTAAATAATAATAATAAGGTTGGGTTCATGTTTGGCTGAACCCTTTGCTCACTGTGTGGCCTTGGGCCAGTCAGATGACCTGCTTGTGTCCTGATAGTCAAACCAGCTGGAAAATTGAGTCAGAGACAACGGCCTCCCTGCAAAACAGATGCTACAGCTGAGTTGCACACTTCTTTTTTTTAGTAAATAAATTGAGGGTCAAGGAAAGGAGGGATTGGTGAGTTGTTTGGAATATTCAGGAGCAGCTCCAAGCCGAGGAACAGATTAGAACCTCCTTCCAGAATGATCACCAGGTCTCCTATGGTCCACCTGGTCTCCCACCTCCGCAAACACTGTTGGATCACAGGTGGCCTCTCTTTAGACAACTCAACCCTTGACACAAAGGTCCTCAGGGATCCTATCTGTTAAAATATCACCTCATTGAAGCTGTCCTGGTGCCTAGTGAAAATTGCAAGCCGCCTTCCCCCGGCACTCCCTGTTTTCCTCCCATGTTTATTTTGGCCAGCACCTTCCTTGTTACCTAGCATCTAATGTGATGACTTATTTATGTTTTCTACCCCCGACTAGAACGTAAGCTCCTCCAGGGAAGCGACTTCAGTCCATTTCATTCACTGCTGTGTACCCAGTGCCAGAGACAGTCCCAATAATTCGCCCATTTTCTCTGGGCTGGAAAGCTGGGAAGATTGTCACAGTTAAGGGAAGCTGCTAGTATGCTTATTAAACAGTTGGTCTAGTCAATCTTTAAGGAAGTAGAGTGCATCCCATCCGATGTTCTCAGTGTGCTGGGGTGAGATTACAGGACAAATGCTCCTGACATCATAGTAACAGATTCACCGGAGGTGCGATTGTTCCTACCCCCGGTTTCTGGGACCAGAAACTGCACTCTTAACAGCTTTGTTCCTGCCTCCCTGCCTCCAGGCTCACCATGCTCCAACCCACCTCCAACCTCCTACCAGCAGGATCCAAGTCCGACCCTATGGTTCCCAGCATGATAAACTCCAGACCATGTTAGGGTCTTCTTGATCTGTGCTCCATCCACCTATCCTGCCCACCCTCCCACCTCCATCATACCTTACCTGCCGACCACACTTTCCCCACCTCTACCCCTTGCAGTTTGCTGGACGCACCATGCTCTCCATGTCTTCAAACATTTTCTCTGCTCTTCTCTGCCTGAAACTCCTTTCTCAACTGGCTGACAACTACTGGCTTACCCCATTGTGCTCCAACACCAGCTCCTGCCTGAATCCTTCCCTGTTGATTGCTCCCCACCCCACCCCCCCCCCCCCCCCCCCCCCCCCCCCCCCGCAGAGGTCCCTCTCGCATCTTAGGAGAACCACTGTGATACTGTGCTACACTTCATTATGACCACTTGGATGTTTCTCTTCCCTACGAAACGGCTGTGGTCTCAGGACAAAAATAGAGTCTTATTTATCTCCATGCCTAGCTCAGGGCTGGGCATATGTGCTGGCACTCTGCAACTAGCAAATGAACAAAAAATAAAATCAGGTGTTTTTTTTCTCAGGTTTAACAGTTCCCTGGTTTCCTTCACCTTTATAGATCATTTTAATATTTCAAATAGGTAATGAAAACCTGATCAAATGCTGAAAAAGAGCTCTTGTGTCAGAGGTTCCATCCTGTATGACAGTCTGTAATTCCCAGACAGTTGATTAGGAGTGTTAAAAGATAAAGCAGGGGGCTTCCCTGGTGGCGCAGTGGTTGGGAGTCCGCCTGCCGATGCAGGGGACATGGGTTCATGCCCCGGTCCGGGAAGATCCCACATGCCGCGGAGCTGGTGGGCCCGTGAGCCATGGCCGCTGAGCCTGCGCGTCCGGAGCCTGTGCTCCACAATGCGAGAGGCCACAACAGTGAGAGGCCCGCGTACCAGAAAAAAAAAAAAAAAAAAAAAAAAGATAAACCAGGGCAACTAAAAAGTTTGAGTTTGTTTGAGCAAAATGGATTCCAGTTGGGCAACACCAAACCGGAAGTGGTTAGGAGCAGTCCCGGGACAGAAGCTAGAGAAAAGGCTCAGAGAGAGAAAGTACGGAAACAAAGAAAGGAAGTGATTTGATTGGCTATAGCTTGAATCCTAGCCGGCTGCTTGTGATCGATTGTCCTTAGTGTTTGATCTGTTTGATCTTGTAAACTTGAGGCGTTTACGGGCTTAGATTTGGGCTTGCTTACGTAGGCTGCCATGGGATTAGAGACGCCTCAGTCTAATCGTTCCTGTGCCAACTACAAATTGGCACTTGCCATCTGCTTCTACAAGGACTAAGCACGAACTGCTGCAGCCGCTGACCTTCAACACCCCCTGAAAGGACTTCAAGATGCAGAGCAGGAATGAGGCCCTCTGTGCTCCGGGAAAAACTGGCAGAACAGGGCCTTAGATAGTTAGATATTTTCAGAAGATTTTATGAGCCCAAGTCTTGCATCACCTCATATCTAGAAAAGCACTGAAATCATTAACAGTGACATCTGCTCCTCGTGACTCGCAGCAAGCCTTTGCCAAAATATGTGCTCAACTGCAGGTACACCCCCTTCACTGAAATCATGTATAACACCGACCAGCCTCCCTACCTCTTTGGAGCAGCTTCTAGGGCTATCTGAGATGCTGTCTCCCGGGCTATAATCCTCATTTTGCCCCTAATAAAACTTAACTTACAACTCTCACGTTGTGCATTTTTTTTAGTTGACACTTGTTTAATTAATTTAACAGAGGTCTGAATTTCTTTAGCTTAAAGGACTAAATCAAGCAGATGCTTACAACCAAGGTGTATTGCTGGAAAGCCCAAGTGTATAGGCAGAAGAGGAGGGCAGGCAAAGGTGGATAGTGGAAGAGAGAGAAGGAAACTGACCGAGTACAACAGCCCAGGGGAAATCAAGGGCCTGAGTTGGATGTGACTCAGCCTCTCCCAGCTTCTTTACAAAGTTCCTGACGGCTATTGGGCCTCTTGGTGGCTTCTGAAGATTTTCCCAGCAACCCCCAGAAGAATAAAAATAGACCCTGTCTGAGAGCAGGAGAAACCTGAGAGAAGTTGCATAATTATCTTCCACCTGCATTGAGAATTGGCCCCTCTGGGCTCTCACAGAACACGATGCAATGCTGAGCCATGAACTTTTCTTGAATCTTTCAAATATCTACAAGATTCTCAAAGACTCTATTTTCACACCTCAGAGTATACATATTGCAACAAAATTTTAAGAGCTGGTTTTTGTTTCCAGACAAATAGATGCTGAGGGGAAATATACTTTCAAAAATTAATTTTTTTCAAGGTGGGTGGCAAGAACAATCTAAAAACAAAATTTGCCTTTTAAATTGAAACATGCCAAAAAAGAACTTGCTTTTCCGCCAGTCTTGGGGCTCACTCATTTCCTTCTCACTGCCAGGGAAGAATCAATCATAGAAACACAGACATTGCTATTCAAAGCCCATCCTTTTCTTTTAGAACTTACTTTTGACAGGAGACCATGCAGTTTTCTGACTGGGGGAAGCTGACAGTGGCAGAAAGTGGATTCAGAAGAGCACTAGTTGGGCTTCCCTGGTGGCGCAGTGGTTGAGAGTCCGCCTGCCGATGCAGGGGACACGGGTTCGTGCCCCGGTGCGGGAAGATCCCACGTGCCGCGGAGCGGCTGGGCCCGTGAGCCGTGGCCGCTGAGCCTGCGCTCCGCAATGGGAGAGGCCACAGCAGTGAGAGGCCCGCGTACCACAAGAAAAAAAAAAAAGAGCACTAATTGACTCATAGATTTAGGTTAGGGACCTTTGTCTTGTCAGCCTGCCAAACCTTCCCCATTCCTTGCCCTCACTAAACCCTCCCAAACCTGCTGCCACTCAAATTATTAAACCATTTTCTTTTCCTGCCACTACTTTCGCCCTGTGTGGCTCAAGTCTAAGCTTGCTTCTTAAACAATGGGTCCAAGTGCCACGTGGGCAGGGACTGTGTGCTTTTTAGTCAACCATGCATTGGCCCCAGTTCCCAGCCAGCACCTGGAGCAGAGCAGGCATTCAAGAAGTGTTTGCTGAAAAATAAAAGCTAGGCTATATGGTTTTCTTTGTGATTCCTGATTCCACTGCTACATTTTCAGGCCAAGAAGAGGTAGCCCAACACCCCAAGCATGTATTCTTCAAAATGCCTTTACAACTGTTATTTTCCAATTGACTGTGAAAAAGAATAAACTCCCGTGACCAGGAAGACAGAAAGAGAACTCGTTTACATGGCCCCAGGCTCAGCAAACCCACTGGTAGAGATGCAACAACTCACAATTGCCCATCCCAGGGAGGCTGGTGGAGGAGGGGTTATTGTTAACTTAGTCATCCTCTTTATTCAAGGTGGTGGTTTTGCTTGGGCTTGTTTTGACCCATTGATCTTCCCTACAGATCTATCTCTTACTTGGAAAACAATCATGTTTTCAATCTTCTTTTACCTATTCACCTCCTACTTTTTAAAGATTTTAATTTTTAGATTCTTTTCCTATCTAACACAACATTGCAAATCAACTCTACTCCAATATAAAATAAAAATTAAATTTAAAAAAGGCTTTAATTAGTTTACACCAAAGTTTTCAATATTCACAAGTCTTCTTCATGTCCTGTAATCAAAATCCTTCATAGGCCTTTGTATTCATTTTCTTAGGCTGCCGTAACAAAGTACCACAGACTTGGTGGCTGAAACAACAAAAATATAATCGCTCACAGTTCTGGAGGCCAGAAGTCTGATTGCAAGGGTTGGTTCCTTCTGAGGCCTCTCTCCCTGGCACGAGGACAACAGCCTTCTCCCTGTGTCTTCACATTGCCTTCCCTCTATACACATCTGTCTGTGTCCAAATTTCCCCTTTTCATAAAGACACCAGTCACATTGCCTTAGGGCCTAAAGAACTTATCTCCAAATAAAGTCATATTCAGAGGTACTAAGGGTGAGGATTTCAACATATTTGCGGGGAGCAGACACATTTCAACCTATAACAGTCTTTCTGTACTATTGGAAGCACCCATAGTGAGAGTTAGCTGGAAAATATAAAGAAACTGTTTTTTTCCCCATAATTCTGAAAATTAACTCATTACAGAGATCACCAACCCCTTTAGCTCCAACTCCCAAACAAAAAATAATAATAATAAATAAACAAATGAGGTCTACATTCCCAAAAGTCTAACTGCTCTCTGAAGCAACCCAGTCCTACCTGCTGAACTTTCCCACTCCTGATGGATCAATAACGCTTTCTCCTTGCTGCTACATCATTGGACCCAATTTCTCTAAGTCAGGCTTAGGAGCTTCAAGTAAACCAGTGGCCTTGATTCTTACTAGGTAAATCCAACCAAAGAGGAATAATTTCTTGCCCAAGGTCAGTAAGTTAGGCATGAATTGTAGCATGCAGCCTATGAAGCCAGAAAAAAAAAGCAACCTATCCCAAGAGTCCACACAGAGAGTAGCTGCCGCATCACAACTGGGCTGAGAGGCAAGAGCCAAGCTGAGGGGGTAAGCTAAGTTCAAAGGTCATAGAAAGTCACCAACAAATGACAGGCAGCGTTCCGAGATCAGAGTCAAACTTCAACCTTTGCTGGGAGAGAGGTTTGAAAAGGAGCTTTGGGGACATCCAAGGCCTCCCTGCTAGCCAGCTCAGGCTGCTTTAAAAGGCAAATGGGATGTGTTTTTCAGTGGGTACCAGGGGTCCTCTTAAAGGCACCATCTAGCTCTATCTTAAGTAGGATAGGAAAAAGCTTCTCTGAATGCCTGGGAAAATGGAACTGATGCCTTCCTCTTAGACTTGGAAAACTAAAAAAGACATTTCCCTAGGAGTCAAAGACTTTATAAATTCCTTGTTTTCTATTATTCTCCTTCCACAAGAAGTTTTTCAAATATTTTAATAGATTGGTCCTCATAGGGAAACAAGGAAAATATGAGGCACAGCAAGTAGTTAGGAGCAAACGAACCATGTTCATGGGGAAGCATATGCTCATGCTGACGCATACATTTGTTTTTCCGTTTGCATTTTATAATTGTTAATCACAGAAGCATGTGACAAATAAGCAGGATCAGAACCATAAGAGTTTCATGAATCGAATAATTTTTCATGGAGTCAATATTGGGCTCCAGGCCCTGGAGAAATAAAAATAACAAAACAATATCCTGCCCTTGGAGCTCCCAGTCTAAGTGAGCCGGATGCACAAGGAAGTAGATAGTAACACCAGGAGGTGACAAGGACCCCTGAGATGCCCTGGACTGTCCAGGTATATTGGGATGGGACCCTAAGTACCTAGGGGACGAGGAGAGGCCATCTGGAAGGAAGACCTAGGACAATGGCAAAAGCTCTTTAGGAACCCAATATGCTCCCGACCCAATAATTTGGTCACATGCAAACGCTTTCCTTGTCCCTTGAGAAACTGCGCTATTACTTCCTTTCCTGGTACAGCCCAAAGAGGCTGGCATGCCAAGCAATTTACTCTTACAGGCATCTGTCAGTGAGGCATAGTCTTTCATCTTTCATTGAATTATAACATATATATGTAAAGTAAGCACATTTTAAGTGTAAAGCTCAATGAATTTTTTTCATAAGTATAATGCCGAGTAAGCACTACCTAAAACAGGACTCAGGACATTCCCGGCACCCACAAGGCTCCCTCATGCCTGTCTCAGTGACTACCTACTCCCTGGAAAACATCACCATTCTGTTGTTGTTGTTGTTGCGTGATTTGTTTATTATAAACTATCATCTTGAGTCAAATTATAACATGTAAATCGAGATTTCCTTGTCACTAAGAAAATAAACCAACATTCTGCTGATGTTTGTTTTTCCGTATGGACTCCTAAATGCCTGCTTTTAAATTCTGTCAAATTCTGAATTCTCGAGCTCTTAAGAAAACAGCGTTCTTATTCTCATAACCATGGATTCGTTTTGCCTGTCCTTGAATCTCATGTAAATGAAATCACACAGAATATAGTTTTTCATGTCTGGTTTCTTTTGCTCATTTTTACGTCTGTGAGATTCACCTATGTTTCTCTGCATACCACAATAGCTTGTTTTTATTTTTGTGGTGTACTCCATATACCACAATTTATCTGTCTGTTCTACTGTTGGTGGATATTTGGGTTGTGTTCAATTGGAGATACCATGCATAAAGTCAGTTTGAACATTCTTATGCCTGCCACATATGTGCTCATTCCTCTCAGTTATATTACTAAGAGTGGAATTACCCTGTCAAAGGATACAAGCATATGTCATTTTAGTGGGTACCACCAAACAGTTTTACAAAGCAATAGTGCCCACTTACACTCCCATCATCAGTGTCTGAGAGTCCCAGTTTGAGCTATAATCCTGGGTGCAAGTTCCCCTTGGTATCTCTGTGTGTAAACTGGGAAGTCTGTCTAAGAAGAGAAACTTGCAATGTCAAAAGGACTCAACATGTAACTATTTTCTGACCAATGCACTAGTCCCTCCTGCTAGAAGACTGGATGGAGGATGGTTAGTTGGATATACTAATAGGGAAGCACGAGCTAAGAAAACAGCAAATAGATACAAAGTTGGACTCTGCTGGCCAGACTGTTGCACCCAGGCTAACAGCATCTATAGTGATGGTCCCTCTGCCAAGTTCTTCTTCATGTTGGCTGGCCTCCTCGTTACCACTCAGCTTAATGGACTTAAGGACCAGAAGGGCTGACCTAGAGTCAACTGGGTGCTGTCCACAAATACTGATGGCTTTGGATACCTTCTCCTGGGGAAATCCTATAGAGGCAAACATTTCTTAGAAGTCCTTCTACTTCTTCAGTACTTGGCCATGTAGCAGCCAGCCACAAGGAAATTGCACATGTTTGGTAAGAAATATCACAGCTCCATGGAGGAAGTGCTGGGAAAATAGTAATAATGCTCTTGAATCTTTCTGACAACCAACACATCTGCACACACAGGGGGAAGATGTGCCTTTCACATCTATTAAGATATCAAATGAAAGCGGAAAAGCAAGACCGAAGACGCTAGTCTAAATATCCTTGCTGAACCCTCAAAGACCACTCAGAAGACACTTGAAGACATTGTAAATGTCTTCTTCCAAAATACTAAAGCTCCCTAAAAAAAACAGAGTGGCAGGAGAACACATTTAACAGTGTGTTCTTTAATAGTGTAAAGACTAAGAAGAAAACACTGACTGTATCTAACATTTTCCACATTTGTTATCATTTGCTCTTCAGAATGGCATTTTTAGTTGAGCAGGGCTAGCCTTATTATTATCAAACTGCCTTCGCAAACCAAAAGGGCTATTTCCTGATCAAAATTAATCCTAAAATAGAATGTGCAGATTTCATAAAATTGAAACGTCTCCATTATTATAGAAACGTTAGAGGCTCATTTTTTTTAATTTATTTTAAAAATCAAAATGAGATATTGACCAAAAGAATATCTGAATGCACTTAAATGCAGGTGTTCTTGAATATAGGCAGCAATACCTTGACATTTCACAAGGTCTTTCCAGAAATTCAAGATGTTCACCTTAGACTGAACCAATAAACATGAACAGTAATCTAATTTAAGAGAGAGTCTTTTGACCTTTTAGACAGGTGGTAAAATTCTGCAGTGCTGTATAGCCTTCTAGATACTTTGAACAGAGGCATTTTACTCTGACAAGAGCTGT